AATCCCAAATAACAAGCCTAAATTTTGAGGTATTTTAAATCCCAATTTACCATGTAAACTAAATAAAAAGTCCTAAAACTTTGCCTTGCACTACATTCATGAGAGAATATCGAAAAATGGCAATAACTGTTCCAAATTTCACAGTTTAGTGTAAGTATATTACATAGGGCATACTAGCCTATGTTATCCTACTTTAAGTGTAACATCAGGGCCAAGGCCTATGACCACAAACGTTGCTAAGCTAGCCTAAAAGCCTTTTTTATTTAAATTTTTAAATTTTAATACACGGGCGGAAATTATAGACTTTTCCAGACCGGAGATCTGCCTCTCCTCCCTTAGACACCCCTTTCCTCATGGGCGTCGTAAATGACTAATTATGGACCTATAATCTATTTTATACTGGGAGTCTCAATGCAAATTATGATTATGTCTCCTCTAGATGCCCGGAATTAATGGCACTCATTCAGACTTAAAATTTGAATATTTCATCTAATTTTTTTTTTTAATGTAGGTGGTCCTGATCGGCTGGGCATGCGCACCCTACCGCCACTGGATTAATAAATATGATATATGTCCTACAGTCAATGTCAAATACATTATGCTGTTATGTATAAACAAAGCCCTTTTAGATCAGGGTGTTACAGAGCGAGGATCCTATGGGTAGGGTCACCGCAGAGACCCCTGCGGGTCGGTGGCCATGCGAACCGCCGCACGAGAGCGCATACACGTTACGTCACTGAGCATGGATAGTAGCTGTTCTAGCTGGGCACTTGTTACTTGTTACGGTACTTGTTTTGTTAGCCGTCCTCTGTCATGAAGAAATCAGGCCGTCATTGACTGATATCAGTTGATATATACACTGCTTTTTGATACAGAGAGACCAGCATATTCTGTGCTATAATATTTTGTACATGTATCTTTGTATAGTTGGTATAATACATTACTGTACTTATTTAATTATTTATATTATTGTTATTATTACTATTTATTATTATTATTATTATTATTTGATTTGTTTAATTATTTAATTACCTGTAACCCAAGGTGGGACAATTGCAGGTACTCTCCTCCCGGGTCAGAATGATCCTGGAGCTCATCATGGGCAAGGTCGCTCACTTCCCTGATCGGATTATGTTGTTCCTACTGCACATTCCGGTAATGCGGCTAAAAAACGGGTCTTAGGTCTCCGTCTTTTGTCCTTTTTTACATCATGGTTTATGAAATCGTTGGAAAAAATCGGAGTCGGGGATATAGCGTATGGTAACGTTGTGTTCGCCGTCAATCAATAGAAAATTGAAAATTAGTGAGTGGTAAAATAATTGAGCTCTCTTTCGCCCACTGCTGTGACCGCCACTGAGCCCATGGATATCGCTTCCTTTTTCCCCCTCTTTTATTCCTTTTACTCTTCTCAATTTTTTCTCGTTCTTTTTTATTTTTCAGCGGGATTGACGGAAGGGGGCACGGGGCTGGATCCGTCCCTGCATGATGTCATGGCGAGTTTGCGTCAAGTAACATCGGAGTTCGTAAACCTGTGGTATCACTACTTTAATAAGTCAAATTAGACAGACTTATCCGTGTCAAAGGCTGTATAATTATTGTTTAATAACAGCTATTATAAAATTCAATTTATTAACTATATTTTTTTGAAATTAGGAAAAACAGGAATCTATGTATGCAGATACGGGCCTTAATAATATACAAAATGAATAAATCGTTTATAATAAAAATTGTGCATTTTGAGTTCGTAAAAATGTTGGCCTAATAGGTTCACACGCTTCCAACTTTAACAACGTACAGTACATTCTTTTCATAATAAATTTAGCCACTGATAACCGTTGCATCCATAAAATCGAGTGGTTACTGAGATGGTTACGAAATGTACAAAAAATTGCATTTTTACTCAGTTTTGGTCCGGAAATACGCACCGCACTTGGAACAGAACGCAAGTGAATAGATTCATGACAGTCATTCGTAATTGTTGTTGTTCTTTCCACTAGCTTTGGAAAGTGATGTTTTAACTATAGAAAATTGGTGAAAAGTGGGGGGGGGGCAATTGATATGATGTTTCCTACTTTAAAAAGTGGGAGGGCGTGTCCCCCTGCCCCCACCGATCGACGCCGGGTGTACAGCGAGGAGCTTTAAGTAGAGATCTAGCCATTTGTAACTGTAGTTTTTCTAAGTCATTATTATCTTTTTTTTGAATTGCTATGCCAGACTCATGCATAATTAATTGAGGGAAGCGCTATTGTCTTCCATAGAATACTGCCGTCATACCCTATTAAAACTATCAAAGTTTCCAATTACACCTTTGATATACGAAATTAAGCGGTTTCTTTTTCGAATGACATGTTGGTAGTGATTATATTCCTTTTGGTTTGAGGAAATTATCACTCCCAAATATTTATAGCAATCTACCTCTTTTATGAATTTTCACCAATTTTCCATTGTTTTTCTCGGTTAATTACGCTTTCCAGCGACCATCACATTAGATTTTTCATAGTTAAAACTTCTGTTTATCATTCCCCCAGCTTGCCTTCAAATCCTCATAACCTTAGTCTTCTTCACGTTAATCTTCATATCATATTCTACATAAAATTGATCTGTAAGATCATTTCCCATTCTAACCCTATAGCTTTATTAACATTATCATATACGGACAGTTAATAATCCATTCACTTGGAATCTTTTCAATTTGAATTAATTTGTTAAAAAGATACACGAGAGATCTTTTCATTGCATCACCTCCATTTTTAGAAGCTTTGAAGTTCAAGTTATTGGTCATGTACAGTAATGAATACAATACATGTAATTTGTTTCGGTAAAATGAATAAAAAATACTGATAATACTCAAATTATATATTTCCCAGAATAACACGCACTGAAAATATGAAGAAATGCCAAATAGTGCAAAATATTACCTATGGTTAAAATCTTATTGCATCAGAAATGAATGCGTCGTTGAGTCTATTTATTTTGTTAACTATGTAACAATTCCACCGAATCTGATGCAATTATGTAGGTGGTTATTTTTTCATTGATTATTATGTAACATAGCAGCTTCAATCATTTGTATTTTAATTCCTGTTATTTTACAGCCTTCCTTAACTATTTTATTTAAAATCCCTAAGTTCTTTTTAAGAGGCTTGAATGTCATACCAATCGACAGAAAGATATCACTGATTTGAAAACACTTTGGTAGACCATAAAAAGAGCATTATTTGATTTTCCTACTTCAATTTTTTAAAGTTTTCATAGATGATATAACCGTCGTTGGGCTTTAGACGAAATTTAACTAGCGTTAGTGTTCCAATACAAGTCATTATCATAAAGCACGTGCATCGATCAACTGATTCGTTTTCAAGCTTTTTCATAAATAATACGATACTGTAAAACTACATGCCATGTTGATATTTTTTATTTTTGTATATACATTCTAGTTTCATTAAATTCCACTTCAAGTCTATTTTGCTTATATTGGATGCACCGTTGTTTGATGATGACCACGCATGCGTTGTATGGCGTTAGATAAAGCACGTGCATCGACCAACTGATTGTTTTTTAGGTTTAGTGGTGGCATACCTACTACAGCAGGGCCTTCAAATTTAGTAGAAAAGAATACAGTTAATGACTTCGGGGTAATTATCGCAATTCCCAAATTTGCTTTTGATTTTTGCGTATGCCTACAAAGGAACGTACAGATCCGCTTCTGATACGCAAGGTGCCCCACCTAGTCCGTCCATCACATGCTGTATATCACTATAGGCCTACTCACCCCACCCCACGCAGAACAAATTCAGAAATTATTTCAACAAGTTGGGCTTTTAGCTAGGTCCATCAATTTCATAAAATCGTCTTCATCGTGTGTATTGACATACTGTTCATTCAAGACATTCTTTTTTATTTACTAAAACACAGGGTACACCTACAAACCAGTATTAATTGAACACACACTAGGATAGGTACACTCTCTTGAGCGTACTTTGACTCATTGCGATCGTATAGAAAATTGGTAATTGTGGCGCTTTTTTGCTATGCTAGGGCGTTAGTTTCTCTCTCTGGGTGTGATTAGAGCACAGTGTAACTATGGTGCCTTTTTATTAATTAATTCTCTTTTAATTACTATTTACTCTTTTTGAATGATATTTTCGTTTTAATTGGAGAATTAATGATTCTCTAACAAATTATATATTACTCCCTGTGTTTGGATGCTTCCCTACGAAAGCCTATTAGGGCCACTAAAATATATATTTTTATGTCGTAATTACGACTTATTATGTCGAAATTTCGACATACGTATGTCGTAATTACGACTTATTATGTCGAAATTTCGACATAATAATGTCGTAATTACGACTTATTATGTCGAAATTTCGACATA